ACACAATGATGTTGGTCACAATTAAACAGGCCTTCTGCTCGCGAAGGAAGAAATTTGAAATGCCATATAAATATTTTATCTATGTTATAACACAAATCTCAAGTTGAGTTTCTTCAAACACACAAATATACCCACCCAAAATTTACTTCATATCACAGATGTAAGAGAGCATTTTCAGATAAGATATGAGGCTCTCTCAGTTTATCGGTTAGAGTTAACACAGCTAGTTGAAGTGATTAAATTATAACGTTCATTAAAAATTGCACTTGACAAACTTGTCTCATTTTTTTACAGAGGACTAGGCTTACAAGTGACCATGGGATTGCATCGCAGCTGCAACAGCTTATTGTGCACAACCTGTCAACTTCGATTGCCATAATTTATACCTTTTAAGTTTTCAGAAAATGTCAACGTAAAAATTTCTTACTAGAACTATTACAGTGTTGGTGGATCCTTGATATCATAATCAAAATCAAAATCAAATCCATTTATTGCCATCAACATTATAAATACATGTATAGCAACGTCATACAGTTTTCATCACAGTATATCCATTATGTTCTACAAATTCTTTGACCTTATACACACATAAATCGCACAAAATCTTTCTAATAGTAAGTTTAAATTGTTTTATTTCAAGACATTTAATGTGAGCAGGTAACATATTATACAATCTTTTGCCAAATTCACTAAAGTTATTGATTGTGGTCATAAAATTACATTGGTTTGGACGTAGAAAAGGGTTTTGTCTGGTACAATGGTTATGAACCGAATCATTTGTAGGGAACTCTCTAATATTATTTTTAATATACAGTAAACAATTTAAAATGTACAGAGAAGTGGCGGTTAAAATTCCAAGTTTCTTAAATAATGGCTTACAATGTGTTTCACTGTCAACATTGAATATTGCTCTAACAGCTTTCTTTTGCAACAGTTGCAGCTTTTTAATACTACCAGAATGACCTCACACAACAATACTATAAGATAAATGACTTTGAATGTGAGCAAAATAAACGGATTTCAACACATCTATACTAACAAAAGGTCTTAGTTTTCTAATCATAAATGTACCCTTGGAAACCTTTTTACAAATCATATCAATCTGAGAATCCCACTTAATGTTAGGCTGTACTAATACTCCCAAAAACTTAACACTATCTGAACAGGTACTTGATAAACAAACTCAATTTTCTGTGTTTTGCTAGTGTTTATACACAATGAATTGGCAGCAGTCCAGTCCTCGATTACAGAGTTAGTAGTATGTAGAAGATTTTTTATTAAGGAAGAACATTTACAATTTATCTGGACAGCTGACATAGGTAACATATCCCGTATACAAGGCAAAGTAATATTGATTTAATACAACTCTATTGAATGTTATTGGTTTATTAAAAAATGTGTGTAAACCACAGACTTTTTGTGACTTAAATAGTGCAACATTTAATAGAATAGTTTATATAGGCCCTGCGGTTAATGTTTAAATAGTATAGGCATACAATTATCATTATTTTCTAGTTTTCCAATGTAATTTACTGGTTTTTTCATCGATAATATTCCCGCTACAGACAGATGTTGAAGTATCAGAAATAAACCAAATACAATATCCGTTACAAATTCAATAGATTTGTTATATTAATGCTTTGCTTTTGACTGTGTTTTAAAGTGCCTAGAGCCTAAGGCATAACATACTAGCAATTAAGGACTTGAAACATAACGTGTTGATAAAAATAAATAACCTGTTAGGTTAAAGCTATTATGACTTCCATTCTAAAATCTAGTGACTAAGGGTTCAATTTATTTGCTATTTCTATCTTTAAACAGCTGCAACTCCCAATGACTACAAGCGTATTTATTTGAAAAGTGGTGTTCTGGTTTCCAACTAAAGACGTTAAAAAATATTTTCTGAAAATCGTACGACCCTTTTTAAACATTTTTTATGGTCTATGAAATAGTAAATAAAAATAAAAATTAAAAATTAATTTTTTACTAACAGTTACAAGCCAGTAAAGGTTTTACATTCAAAACTCAAAATTAAAAATGCTTTAAGGATGTCGTTTAACGCTTAAACCACATTTGAAATATCAATTCTCAAACAATCAGTTCTTTGGGAATCATGGGTAAAGCAACTAGAGATAAAACCACTTTGAAAAGCGAGATGAGGTATAATCTTTGCAATTGAGTTGTGTTAACATTGACACTTAAATGTTAATGGGTTGATGGATAACATTTGCTAAACTTACCTTACGATGACTATCATATCTGTTGATAGGTTTTACCCAAGATGTATGGGTTTAGCTTCACTTTTACTCCATACATCTGGGTTTTACCCAGTCTCGTACAGCATTGTAAATTAAACTTGCATGTGATACAACATGATAAAACTAGTGTTGCATTATTTTTATATTTCGGGTGTTGTGTTAGTGACTTGTTTCATGACAAAGTAGAAAATTAATTCTTTAGTGTTACAAAATATTGAACAAAACTTCTCAATATACAAGTATACACGCTTTGATATTCAAAGCAGAAAGTAACACAGGCATTTCATTGAACGTTCCATCCTTAAATATTTAAGTATTGGTGAATGCCAAACAATGCTTTTGATCGCAAAATATCAGAAATATCAGTTACCGATGGAATATCTCTTTAATAAACTATTTCGAAAAAGGTTTATACATAATCGCAACTTTAAACCAAAGAAAAGGTAGCTTTTTGCATTAGCTTCTTTGTAAATTTAAGTTTTAAACTTATCTCGTACGGATCAATTTTTTTTAGTATTCAGGCTAGTGAACAAATATATATTAAAATTACCCTAAGCTAATTCATAAGGAATGACACACAAGAAAGTGGGTATAAGGCAAAACTTATAATGCAAATAATAAAAATACGCCAGTACTTAGGTAATACATAATATTGCCTTCTAATGCCTAATGCATAATGCCTTCTTAAGCCATGCTCAACTCCAAGTTAACTCAACTAAAGTCTAAAATAATTCTTTCTCAAAATAAAATATCTTCATCTAGTTGGTGTTAACTATCACCTGATAGCTGTAATTTCTTTGTTCTATTTGTTTGCTGTTTCTTGGTACCAAACTTGATATCCCAATCGTACAGGCACCCGAAGCAGTGACTAGACCATCTACAGTTCGCACCACACACTGAAGTAAGCCAGCTTTCGAACATATTTTGGTCCTTGTTCAGTTCTAGAAACTTTTTATTAACCTGGGCAGCCTGTAAAAATACTGTTACACATGTCATTATCTAAAGAAAACCGTGGATGATTAAATAGAATTATATCAATGTATTATTTCTGTATTAGTCAATAAAACTTCAAAATACCATAAACGCAAATTTTGGACTCTGACGTTATTCCACATTTCTTAAGTTTTAGTGACACATATGAGAATCTTTGGTTGAAGTTAATTTTTGGTAACTAGTGGTAACACTATGTAATAGATTTTTGTGAGTATTTTGAATTATGAAAACTCTTATTGTTTCTGTTATTGGATATTGTTTTAATTTCTCTTATACTACTGGTCTGTTCTTGTAATGTTTTAATAATTTCTCACCAGATGATTAAATCAGATTCCAGATCCCGAAACGTTGTTTAACAACTTTCTTTTACTTATTGTGATGAAAAGTTACCTCAACAATCTATTAGCTATGTGGTCATTACGTTATTCTTCTACATCATTCTTGCACACTAAGCGTCTTGGATTTAACTCTTCTTACAAGTACTATTCTTGGATGGGACAAGTTGATGATCTCTGACAACATTTTTGTTTAATAAATAAGATTGATTGATAGATCATAACAATTGGTCATCATGATACACCCCTTAGTTTTATTTTAGAAACTAAATGCATATTAAGTAATATCATAGATCAAACATACTCTTTTATAGTACTTTATGTGTGTCCTTCCTTAGCCGTTACAATTATTAAACTGATCAATGTTTTTTTTTGTCATAGTGATGTTCATAAATATTCTCGTACATCCTTTGATAACGAATATTATCTAAGAAACCACAACCACTCGTCCAGTGGCCACCACGGTGCTATTTATATCGGTTTGGGAGAATAAACCATCATTGTAGAAGTAAAACTTGTGAGGTAGGCAACACAGAACTTCAAAGGACATAGAGTAAGTAGACACACAGAATTTAAATCTCCTAAAACATTTAGTGGTCATTTTTTTTTTTTTGAAATATTATATATTTTCTAAACTAAATGTACATAATGTTTAAAATGTGTTTGTTATATTGTTAATACTTAATGATTCTAGTCCACAAATAAAAATCTAGCCTAAATACTCTCGCTACAGTAAACCTGCAGACTAAGTGAATTTCCATTTACCTGGCTAGATTTACACTATAATATTCTCTAAAAGTTTTCAAAAATGTAATTTTTTTAATGATTATACAAAACATACTAATTTTAATTTTTGTCATTACTGTCATTGTGTAGAGCTTTAAAAACTAATTAATCTGCATACTGAAGCAGATTGGTGTAGTATTTAAAGGTTACGGGGAGTATTCCTACTTGTCATTCATTCAAAATTCCCATTATATTTATATAGGGGGAAAGTAAACGTTTTTAGTTTGTTTTATATTGAAATGCTTTGATTAAATTCGGCAAACTTATTTATTTTATAGTATATGATTAACTTAAAAAAACACACACAAATGTTTCCTCACCTGTAAGATCGGTACTCGTTAACCCAATGTTATTTGAAAATGAAATAGATAAGCTATGTTTATGAAAATATTTTTGTGAAAATCTAATTAGGCGATTGGAAATCCTCTTAGTCTGCAGGTTAGTTACGGCCGGGGTGTCAATGCATCCGTTTAATAATATTGCATATTAACAGCTTTGAATATTTACCGCGAAGTAACCATGCTGATTAAGCAAGGACATATTTCCTAATAGGCGGACTAGAGCGGCAAATTTTAGGGGCTAAAAAATTAAAAAGGCAGGGTTTAATCTTTAACTATCAATGGTTTAGTCCAAAAAATACCTAAAAATATCTAAATAATGATATTTTTAGATAAATCTAAATAAAATTCGATGGGTAGAGTTGGCAGATACATCAAGTCAGCAAGTAGTCTGTCCGCGTCGGTTTCGCCGATTCCTGCCAATTCAGTTACAGGTTTATTTTCCATATTGCAATCCAAGGAATTGTTGCCCTGAAATTTCAAATTTTATTACCTTTCCAAAAATAACAGAAACAAAGATTTAAATTATATTATAATAAGATCTGACTGTCTATATTATTTATAAGTAAGCGAATGATGAAAAGCATAAAGATCTTTGATATTTTCTTTCTTGGTGGCTTTAATTTTAACGTTGGCCTTTTGTTGGCCTTTTTGATGGCTGCATTTGTTTTATTGCTTTCCTAAAGCCAGTCCTATGATTTTTTACTAAGTGAATCTTACCATTACAAATTTTTCTAGTCTCTAGTCTTTCCCCAAAGACCCTTACAGTTGGCATCTTTTTTGTGAAGTAGTTTTTTTTTTTTATTTAACATAGTTCAGAGTAGAAATTAAAATTGTGTTTACAACTAATCATTTGGAAAAGAATAGATACTAATGATAAACAATATTTGTATGTATGGAATATTCCTCGTTCATTCACATACGCATTAGAATTAGACTGTTATTATTCATTTCAAAATGGCGGCTCTTCATGTGAAAGATTTTTTACTATTGTATATACCCTATATTTTTTTATATAAATATCTCTACTCTTTATTTTGTATTTTGTATTTTATAAGGGTTTATGTTTTTTGAAAACATACTTACCAATGAATATTGCACGTCCCGTCTCACAGGAACCTCAAGCAACTTAGGACGAGTTGCCAACGAGTTTTCTTCGTTTTTGTGTGAATGAAACAAATTGTTACAAGAAAGACTTTCTTTCTCTGCATTTGTTTTGACACTAGCTATTTTTGTATGGGTCACTCTGTTTTCTGTATTTTGTGTAATTGTCCCCTGGTTCTTAGTGTCTAATAGCTGCAATTTCTGTGTTATAGTTTGTTGCTGTTGCTGGACTAGGACTTCAAATGTGATATCCCAATCGCGCAGACACTGGAAGCATTCTCTAGACCATCTAGAATTTGCACCACACACTGAAGTAAGCCAGCTTTTGAACATATCTTGATCCTTGTTCAGTTCTAGAAACTTTTTATAAACCTGGGCAGCCTGTAAAACACAAGTATTTCGTTATCTAAAGAAAACGGTAGATGAAGTGTGGAGTGAAATCATAGTTTTTCATAGGTCAATAAAACCTCAAAATACAATAAACGTTTGAAGTTATGATACACTGTCAATTACTGGTTTTGCCATTAATGCACTTTTCTTGAACTCTTTGGTTGAAATGAATTTTTGGCAACAGTGAGTTTCCAATATCCAACAAATTCTTACGGAAATGCTCCATCATGATCTTATATTGTTTTATTTAAGTGATATTATTTTAATTTCTCTTAGTGGCGAACTACCGGTTTTACCCCACTTGGGGCACGTTTTCCCATAAGAAATAACATGGGATCATTTTTTGGCCACTAAAACCAAAAATCCTGATCTTTGCCTAAATATCCCTATATAATTGTCAAACCTTATTTCTTACTTATTCCCCATTAATATATTCGATATTAAGCTAAAAAAGCTATTTCTTATATTTATTGACCCTTACAAGTGTAAATGTAGAGTAGTGACAATAGAAGAAAGAGCCATCACTTGGGGCGTTTTCCCCATAAGAATAACATGGTGAGCTTTTTTAAGCCACTAATTCCAAAAATCCTGCTCTCGACCTATACAAGCCTATATTAATGTTCAATACCATTGTATAACTTCATTACTGTTTCAAATCCACATGCATTCACATGTATATTCTCAAAATCATCAACTTGACAGTGCAAGGTTTGTACGCGAACTCGGGCGCGCTCCCGGCTCATGGCGCGCTCCTGGTCGTGCTCCCGACCTACGGTCAGGCTTCTCGTCTCTACTGGTCTAGTCCTGGGTGGTGACCTCCTGTTGAAGTAGTTCTTAATTTCTAATCAAAATTTTTAAAATTTTCGAAAATTCTATAAATAGAAGTGACATTCGGGTGTTATTTCATTCTGGACCATGAGGCCCACCTGTCAACACTGCTCCGTGTTGCTCTCCACCAAAAGTAACCTGATTCGCCACTACAAGGTAATTCATCAAATGAAGGTGAAACTGTGCAAGGTTTGCAATTTAATCTGTGATAATAATGTGGCTTTAAAATCACATATATTACAAAATCATAGGACTTGTAATTTCTGTAAAACGAATGTTGTTGGACATTTTAAAAGACACGCCAATTCTTGCATCAAATGTCCATATACAATGATTAAATTTGTCGGTGAATCGATTAGAGCTGACCTTAAAAATACTCTTCAGTCTTGTCCTCTTCCGATAAAATGGACGTTAGTTAGGAGAATCAAATTTATAAAATATTCAATGGATCAAAATGGAAAATTAGTCAATGAAAAAGAATGTATTGCAGATTTTAGAAGCCTTACTACCTTAACTATTGAGAAGAGAGATTTAAAGCCTCAAATTGAAAATGCACTTTTAAATATTGACGCTTCCATACACAAATATCAAGCCCAAGGCAGTGGATGGATATATGACCATACTAAATATTGGCAGCTGCATGTTTACAAGTATAAGCCCCTAACTCCAAAGTCATATATCCCTACACAAAAAAGTATTCAATCAAAACATGCAGTTTTAAATATTAAAAATGCTGACAATAAATGCTTCCTTTGGTCGATTTTAGCAGCTTTACATCCAAGGAACTCTAATGAACATGCTGAAAGGGTTTCTAATTATGTACCCTATAAAAGTCAGTTGAATATGACAAACATAAAGTATCCTGTGAAAATATCTGATATAGATAAATTTGAAACACAGAATGATATAAGTATTAATGTATTTGGGGTTGAATATGATAAATTTATATATCCATTAAGAACAACCAAACTAAATAGTAATATTCATGTAGATCTATTGTTATTACAAGAAGGTCGTAAATCACATTACTGTTTAATTCGTAATTTTGATAAGTTAATGTTCCACTCTACAAAATATGACCATAAGAAGCATTTTTGTAAGTTGTATTTGCAACATTTTTACACTAATGATATATTAAAACGTCATGCAACATATTGTAAAAACTTTGATGCCCAACGAGTGGAAATGTCTAAACAAGATACATTACAATTTAAAAACTATAAATATCAACTTAAAGCCCCATTTGTGATTTATGCAGATTTTGAATGCTTTATAAACTCTAACAACCATACTCCATCTGGATTTGCATTTGTTGTAGTGAAAGAGTCTAAGATTATTTCTGAAGAGTTGTACAGTGGTGAAAATGTTATGGATGTGTTTTTTAAAAGATTATTTGAGACTTATGATTATATTAAAAGTCAAATGGCGATATATATTCCCCTGGTAATGACTCCAGAGCAAGAGGCGTCTTTTCAAAACTCGACACATTGTCATATTTGTGAAAAGCCCCTATATTTTGATAGGGTGAAAGATCATTGCCATTCATCTGGCCAATACCGTGGAGCTGCCCACAATGATTGCAATTTAAACTATAAAGTAACAAAGAAAATCCCAGTATTCTTCCATAACTTGAAAAATTATGACGGACATTTAATAATGCAACACTTGGGAAAGTTTGCACAGTTTAATCGTAAATTAAATTGCATAGCCAAGGATATGGAAAAGTACATTTCATTCTCTATTGATGATTTAGTATTTTTAGATTCCTATAACTTTTTGTCCCTTCCATTATACAAATTAGCTTCCAATTTAAATACATTTAGATTTATAGACAATCCACTACTACAACGTAAAGGTGTATATCCCTATGAATATATGACGGGACCAGATAAGTTCGCAGAGTCTCTACCCCCAAAAGAAGCATTTTACAGTACTCTAACTAAAGAACATATCTCTCCCAATGAATATGAACATGCTAAAAATGTCTGGACCCATTTTAATATAAATAATTTACAAGAATATCATGATTTATATCTTAAAACAGACGTATTGCTACTGGCTGATGTCTTTGAGACATTTAGAGACCTGTGTTTAAAAGATTACAAACTTGACCCCGTACATATGTATTCACTCCCTGGACTAACATGGGAGGCCTGTCTTAGAATGACCGGTATAAAGTTACAATTATTTCAAGATATTGACATGCATTTGTTCATAGAAAGTGCAATCAGAGGAGGAGTCAGTATGATTTCCACACGTTATGCTAAAGCCAATAATAGATATATGGGTGAACCCTATGACCCCAATCAAGAAAGTGTGTATTTAATATATTTAGATTGTAACTCGCTATACTCCACAGCAATGTGTGAGCCACTACCTGTGGATGGATTTCGTTGGACTAATGAGATAGACTACAAATACAATCAAAATGATGAGTTTGGATACATTTTAGATGTTGATTTAAAATATGATAAAAGCTTACATGATTTACATAATGACTACCCATTAGCACCTGAGAAAATGAATGGCAAATTAATGCCAAATTTAAATGACAAAACTAAATATATTTTACATTATAAAGTATTACAAAAATATGAGGAATTGGGTTTGATTGTTACAAAATACCATAGAATTTTAAGATTTAGACAGTCTAAATGGCTTGCACCCTATATTAATTTTAATATTGAAAAACGCAAATGTGCTAAAACTAATTTCGAAAAAGACTTTTATAAATTGTTGAATAATAGTCTCTTTGGTCGAACAATCATGAATCAACGCAAGTTTCGTGATATATATCTCAAGGATGAGTCACTATTAACAAAATATGTCACTAATCCAAGGTTTGACTGTAGCAAAAAGTTTGATAACAATTTACATGCTATACATTTAAATAAATTAGTTGTAAAGTTTAATAAACCAATATATTTGGGAATGACCATTTTGGATATTAGTAAAGTAATAATGTATGATTTCCACTATAATTATATGTCAAAATTTAAGAATAAAAGATTTCTAATGACAGATACAGATTCATTAATGTATGCTATAGTTACAGAGGACTTTTACAAGGAAATAGAATGTGACTTACACTATTTTGATACCTCTGGATATAGTAAAGACCATTTCTTATACTCTGATAAAAATAAAAAAGTCACTGGAAAGTTTAAAGATGAATTAGGTGGTCATATTATGTATGAATATTGTGGTTTAAGACCAAAGTTATATTCTTACATTCCTCTAAAATGGTTATATGAAGAAGACAAGCAAGCTTTAGAGGTGAAGAAAGCTAAAGGAGCTGATGGTGCCACTGTTAAACATCTCCTCAGACATCAACATTATTTGAACTGCCTTGCAACTGGGCAAGACTACTATGAGAATGTGACAAGAATTAAATCTATAAATCATCATCTTCAAACCTTAACCATGCACAAGAAAGTACTATCCTTTGACGATGACAAGAGGTTTATTCTACAAGATGGCATCAACACTCTTGCCCTTGGTCATTATAAAATTGATCAAACATAAATTGTATGTGTATATATATAATAAATACAAATGTTAAAAAACTCCAGTCTTTTATTTATTTACCCTTACCATCCTCTTGATAGAATTGGTCAAACATATATCTATATTTGCCATTATTCTTTGACCTTTCTTTGTCTATTACGAAAAAGCCATATTTAGTTTTATCCCAACATTGATGACGGAGATTTTTAAATTGGTCAAATGAAAAGTCATTACCAACATGATTGTGATATACATGTTTTAAATTTAAATCATCTTGTTTGAATAATATTAGGAAATTTACATTATCACGTAAATGTTTGTGTACTTTGCTTTAAGATTGACACAAGTAAAAACAGTTAATATTTTTATGTCGACCCATTGAGAAAAATTGTGTAATATTTGGACTATTTATGTCATCAAATACAACAACTGACTGTGATTTTACATCATTTGGTGTGATTTCACAGTCAGTAAACGTGTGTAATTTCACTTCATCACACAAACTAAATATTTCAATTATTTTTTTATTTTTCTTGTTCTAAAGATTTAGATATTAAATATAAGTTTGTAAATTTTAATCCTTCCTTTCTTACAATTAAATTGTAAATTACAACCGTCTTCCCACTTCCACTTGGACCACAAATAACACATCGAATATTGGTAGGAAATAGACCCAACTTCTTTGGTATATACTCCTTAGTATGTGATATTTTAAATTTATGTTTTTGTTGAATAAAAGACATTTTTTATATAATAAAAATGGTAAAAAATGATAATAAGAAAACGTGTAAAAAGGGCAAAGGTTTATTCCTAAAGCCTTACAGGGGTCGAGGGCTATTGAATACTCTTATAAATAACCTTCCATTTCCACTTCACATACCATCATATCAATACTGTGGACCTGGGACGAATGTACGTGAGAATTTAGCTAAAAATCTACCTCCAAAAAATAAACTAGACTCTTATTGTAAAGAGCATGACATATTCTACATGAATAATCCCGATACCGCTGCTCGGAACAAAGCAGACATGAGATTAGCTGACTTAGCTTGGACTAGAGTAACGGCCAAGGACGCAAGTCTTGCTGAAAGAGCTGCTGCTTATGCCGTGACAAATTTGATGAAGGCAAAAGCAAAAATGGGAATGGGATTAAAATTTAATAAAAAAGATGGACAACTACCAGCTGTTAGAGGCCGCAAAAGACGTGCCTCACTTCAGGGGGGTGTATCTAAAAAACGAGCTAAAAAAATCTAACACCAAGAGTAAAAGAGTGCGGAATAGTTAATTTAGACAGTTCATCTGGCACACATTGGACAGCATATCGTAAAAATAAAGATATTGTAATTTATTTTGACCCATTTGGAATCCAACCTCCAAAAGAAGTAATTAAATATTTTGAGGGATATAAAATATTCTATACAACTGATCAAATACAAGATTTAAATAGTTCTATTTGTGGAATTTTATGTTTATCATTCATAAAAAAAATTTTGTTTATAAAAATGGATTCATTTACCATAACATTTTCGGGTACAGAGTCAGAGCTAAAGTCAGTGTTCTTTCCTCCCATAGAATTAAATGATGATTATGTAATTGGATTAGTAGATTTTCAAAGTTATAATTCTATATTTAATGTTAAAAAACCTCTAAATACTTAAACATATTACAAAGTAGAGAAAATTACATTACCAAAAGGAGAGATCTCTGTCGATGATTTAAACCAGTTATTAAATGGTAAACTTAAAGTTATAATAGATAAAAATGGAGAAGCATTAATTAATACTAAATCCAAACTTTTATTTAAAGGGCTTATTCCAAAATTAAATCAACTTAAGGGCAACAAACTAACCATTAGAGAAGGTGATGATGTTTTCTATTATGACCACAATGCTCCAGTTACAATAGAAATTTCTGAAGGAACATATGAGGTGGTTGAGCTTGCAAAGGAAATTCAAAAGTAATTTGAGACCAGAAAGAACTTGGTGACGTATTAACAACCCGAGTTATAAATCTTTTAATAAAAATATATTTCTAAAAACTTAAATTTAATATTGTTCTGAGGTTCGTAGCTGGTCTTTAACTCGTCTGATTTTAATGATCAATATCTCAAATGAAAGCCCTTACATTACTGAATATTTTAAGCCTAGAACGAACTACAAGCGTCAATAAGAACTGGAGATATGAGAAAAATAGTTTTAAAAAAATTATCAAACTACGAAACGTCCATAAGAAATGTATGGTGGAGAGTTTTCGTTTGAATATATCTTCTAAATGAATAAAGACATTTAAAAACGGATTTCGGCATTGAAATCAGTGTAAAAATGTAGTTGGTAATGATGTGTCACAACACTATCATTACTTTGAAAAAAAATATCTATGTCCAATATGGCGGATCCAAGATGGCGGCCAAAATTATGTTCCCTATCAAAATGAAGTACTAACAACCCAATAAATACAGGCGGTGGTCCCAAGTCAATATCTCGAATAATGTGCATAACAAATGCATGTGAAATATGTTTTTTTAGTTTGCCCAATGTTGGAAAAAGCCGCCATTTTAAATTATGATTTTAGTGGTTTTCTCGTGCAGCGATTTTTGGCAACTTTTAGTATGTCATTCTGCAAACCCAACTCTACAAAATAAAACCATAAAACGTTTTCTTGCAATTTTTTTAACGATCCCTATGTAAGTTTGTTTAGTTTGCTTTCAGGCATTGTTACTAAGCGTCACATAGATCAGCTGATCGGTTTAAATAACAGTCCGCTGCACAGAGATACGGGTTTTGCTGAAAATATTGTACATAGAAACGTGGCAACCCCTACATCCGCTAGCTCAGACCCAGAGTTGGCAACGCCGCAATACCAGAGGCATTGTACTTCTTCCCCCGCCAAGGACGTAGTCAGCAAGCCGGTTGGCATGGCAACCACCCCAGCGAATGGTAGGAGGTCACTCCCCGCTTCTCCAGCGCGGCGATCTCTAATGTTTAATCCTCCTAGGGCGATCTACACCACCAGCCAGGAAGTCACTCCCCCCTTCCCCCGCACATAGTACTATGCCCGTATCCGCGTGCGTAAAATCAGCTGTGCGTAGTAGTGATAGTAGTAATAGTAATAACACCTGTCAAAGTCAACCACGACGCAATCCTGAACGCGTAAGGAAACCTGTAAATAGATTAGACTTATGATTCTTTTAACAATTTGTATTTGTGTGTGTGTTTGCTGTTTACCATGATTCTTGATGTGAAATACTATGTTATACCTAATGATGATTATACATTTTCTGATTGTTGATTAGGTTAAGCGTCAAGAAATATCACTCTTCCACCAATGGACTATATATTAATAGTTGACATTTTTTTTTTTGCAGTGTTTTGTTCAAATTTAAAAGGGAGGAAATTGTAATATATCTTAAGAATATTAATATCCGTTGTAGCTATGATTTCCTTGTACATCACGCCACTGTGATCGTATGATTTTCAATAAATCTCATTGGCTACAAACATCACCTGATCTCCTCTCCACCTACATCACACCACCGGCCATGTCCGTCCGTCCCTACAACAGTGAGTCTACCTCCAAAACTCAAACCTTAACCACCCGTTTGTAGCCGTGTTTTAAACGTGTAAAACTATCGTATTTATTTCAGCAGTCCACTTCCTAAGTCCAATTCAACCCACGAACACAACACCAACCTGGCTTCTAGTGCTATTGAATTTGGTTATAGCCTTCTCTAGTACACCTGTGTTAGAGGTAGCTATAATTTGATCTCTGACTTGATGACTGAATTGTCTTACTGAGGTCGTTCTAAATAAAACTTATAATCTGGCTAGTATGACTTTGTTGGGGAAAGAATATCCTCAGTGTTATGATTCAAATTCTACCGAAATAATGTTAAACCTAAATATATTCACCTAAATGCTACGATCGTTACAAAAGGTTACTGGGAAGATTCGAACTTTTAATACATTTAACGACATTTAAAATTCTCATTTTATTCATATGGGGGGGAAATTATTTTTTAGTTTGATTGCAATGTTTATGCAATGTTGTTTATGCTTGTTTATTTTATACTAGGCTAAATACAATAAACATTTTACCAAAACACTTTTTTGCTTCTCTGTAGCAGCAAACCTTATACGGTACTCGTTAAACCTAATGTTATTTGAAAATGTAATAAATCGGATAAGTTTATAGAAATATTTCAGTGAAAATCTAATTAGGCAAATCAAAATTTTCTTATTTTGCAGATTTGCTGAAGTCGGTGTTTTAATAACTCCGTTTGTTTGTTGACAGTATTGAATATTTACCGTGAAGTAACCATGCTGATTAAGTCTGCCCCCGTAGACTTCGCCGATTCCACGCAATGCAGTTACAGTTGCATTTCCAAAATAATCAAAGGCGAATTCTATTACTTTCTGGGTCTTTCCAGCCTGAAATTTCAAATGTTATTACCTTTCTAAGAAAATTGTGACAAATTCAGGTTAACTCTGTCAAATCACTAATGATCTACATAAACACAGATTTTAATTATATAGTAAAATGATCTGACTTTTTGTATGACGAACAGATAAAAAAACGAATAATAAAAAGTTAATAGTTTCTCTTGCTTATGACTTATGTCCAATATTGTCTTGCTTGATGACCTTAGTTTTACTTCTAACATTTACTTTCTTACTTCTTTTAGCTTGACTTCTTTAATTGCTTTCCTACAACCAACCTTATAACCTTTGGTTCCTTACCATAAATCAATTTACCTAATTCCTAGTCTTACCCGAATCACCCTACAATTGGCACCTGTATTGTGAAACAGTTATACATATTTTATTTTACATAGTTCTTAGTTGAAAATAAAACTGTGTGGTCAACTTATCCTTTAAAAAAATAAAATATACTAAAAATACAAAAAAGATCTGTATGCTTGGAATCGTCTTCGTTCTTTCTCATACGCAACTGAGTTCGTATTTTTAGTTTAATATTGAAACTAGAAACTATGTGTATTTGTAATAATTTACATAATGTTATCTCATTCTTTTAATGCATTTGCAGGTTGAATTACGAAAGGTAGTTTACTATATATTTCAGGTGGATTTTAAACAAACAACTTTCGGTCATACGATGCAATAAATTTGTTTCCAGCTAAACTATTCCCAAGGAATAACTTTCAATATTTTAAATGTTTGTTATACATGATGTATCAAAACCAGAGGTTTATTAGTTCAAATATAATTATTGTCAAATACAAATCACTTTGGTGAAATTTAGAATTCGATTGTTATTATTCATTTCAAAACGGCGGTTCTTTGTGTGAAAGATTTTGTACAATTTTATATACCCTATAATTTTCTTAATAATGAAAATATCTCATTATGTTTATAAAAAATATAAACATAATGAATAAACATAATGGCTTTATGTTTATTGAAAAAATATACTTACCATTGAAGATTGGATCACAGACGAGTTTTCATAATTTTTGTGCTCCTGAAGCACAGGTTTACAAGAAAGACTTTCTTTCTCTTCATTTGTTTTGACACTAGGTATTTCTGTATGAATCACTCTATTTTCTGTATGTTGTTTTAATGACGATTTCAGTTTACCCAGTTTATTTTCTAAGTCCCTAACTTGATTTACAAGACTGGCATTTTTATCTTCGATTGTTTTGTTCAAACTTCTAATGCATTTAATTTCATCTTTAAGATCCACCACCGACCTGCTGGTTTCATCTAGCTTGCTTGACAGATCGCCCACCACTTTTTTCAACCCATCGAACGTTACAATATCATTGTTCACTTTAACATCTAAATCTTTTACTCGATTACCAAGTGTAGCATTTTCACTCCGTAGCTGAATTATTTCCTTATTCATAGAACGCATCAAGTTCGACATATCCGTCGAATAACGAATGCCACTTGGTTGTAAATCATGAACCATGTTTAACATATTTTCTAGTTTCGAGGCATCCGACAGAACTTGATCAAAGAAATCATTTTGCACAATTGAACTCGACGAATTCAGATTCGATGGGAGATTCCTTGGTTTGCAGTCTTTTACCTCCCGTAAATTTTCAGACTCACTTTCTATGGCACACGACAGGTGAAATAGTTCCTCGCAAGGTCCTGCGCACTTGATTTTCTCTTGGGATTCAAGGATGAAACCTGCACAAACACCACAGGTGTCCAACATGGTCGTACTCACTCAACAACGCGAGTTTGAGTGCAGTAACAAAGTGTGCGGTTGGGTAACTTGAGTGCAATGTTGTAATTCCTCGAGCCTCGGCCGACCTCGGTACTTTCAAGTGGCGCATGCGCCGAGGAATAATGATAAATAGTAATTTAACAGACCTTGAAGCCACTCAAGTTTACATCATGGTATTCGATATTTTGATTGCCTATTTTGTTAGAAATTATATACAAAATGTAGTGCTAATATAGGTTTAAATTACCTGTTTTCTGTCAAAACGATCAGTTTAGTAGTATGATGACTACAGCTGTTTCGTGCTTAAAAAATAGCACATCTTCAGGTCCAGAATGTCTTGCTAATCCCTCATGTAGAGTTCGTCAAAAATATAAACAAATAAATAAACAGGACACACATACGGATACGACACACACGAAAATACATTTAATAAACTGGTCGACCAGACGCTGATTCACGAGACACGGCGCCGGTGGAAGGTAAGTCGCGACTGTCACGTGTCGGCAGCGTTGACCCCTACCCCTGTATTATCCTTATCTCGCTCTTTTCTTGTCTGATTACTGGTGATATGGATGGCGGTGTTATAAATAATGTTGGATTCAAATGACAATTTCTCGTTCAGGATGTTTTGTGGTTGACTTTTTGATGCTTTATAAATTTCGAATTCTTCAACAGTGTCCATGTAATGCCCTTTGTTGCAAAAATGTAATACTTCTAAGTTATTATGTATGTTGGTGTAATTGTGGTTGGAGGATATAAGATGGTTTGCGTAGGCTGATTTTGAGTTTCTCTTCGGTATGTGTTCTTTAAACCTAGTGGAAAACGATCTTGCTGTCTGACCTATATAAAAATTAGGACAATCATCACATATCAATTTGTAAATTCCAGTTTTATTAATTTTATCAGAATCTGGTTTAGTTCTCTCAGTGATTATGTTTGAAAGTTTGTTCTTTGTTTTGAAAGATACTACGACATCTCTTTTTGCAAGTTCGTTTGTTAAGGTGTGGTTTAACACAACACCATAATCTGCACTGATGTATCTTTTGTTGCCTTGTGGTTGGTTCTTGGTTTTATTCTGTTGTTTATTAATCAGTTTATCGATTAGGGAACTGTTGTAACCATTGGCGACTGCGATGTGTTTTAAGACATTTACTTCATCGGTATAATCAGTTGGGCTCAATGGGATGGAGAGTAGGCGGTGTACAAAACTATTGTAAGCAGCGATTTTATGGTTGTGCGGATGGTGTGATTGTGAATGAATAGTCTGGTCCGTGGTCGTTGGTTTTCTATAGATTTTGAACTGTAATTGGCTATTGTTTCTCGTTATAGTGACATCCAGGAAGTTGATTGATTTTGTATTTTCTATTTCGAGGGTGAATTGTAGGTTCTTATGTATTCTATTTAGGTATGCGTGGAGTAAATTGAGTTGCCTGCCGTTACCGTTAAATAATACAAGAGTATCATCTACATACCTGCTGTAGTGGATTATTCTGTGTTTGTGTCGGTTTGAATCAGACCAAAGATGTTTGTTTTCTACATTATTTAAGAATAATTCTGATAGAATGCTCGAAAGAGGTGATCCCATGGTCAGTCCTTCATTTTGGATGTAAAACTGGTTTTCAAATTCGAAATAATTTTGTTTTAGAACGGTCTGAGTTAGAGTTATAAGTTCATGCTTAGCTTCTGTTGAAAGTGATGAATTTTTGTCCAAATTGTCTTTAAGCAAGGCTATTGTTTCATCTACGGGAACTTTCGTGAATAAATTCACGACGTCAAATGAAGCTAAAATATAGGAGTCTTTGAGCTTTGCGTCTGATAGTTTGTTCACTAGGTCAACTGTGTTTCTTACGCTGTGATTGTTTTCCAATTTTATCTCATTCCTAATAATTGTGTCCAGTTTTTTGGCGATTTTATAAGTCGGAGCAGGTGTGAAGTTTACCAGAGGTCTAATGGGAATATTGGGCTTGTGAATTTTGGGCAGTCCTCTTAACTGAGGGGCTCTGGGGTTAGTTACTTTAACATTTCTTATATCTTCAGGTGTTAAAAGGTTCTTGCATGACGAAATTATTTGATTGATTTCTTTGGAGAAAGATGGGGTTGGGTCTTTGTGTAAAGTTACAACATTGTTGGTCTCAATGAAGTTCTGGACCTTGCTGACGTAATCGCCTTTGTCTATTATGACCGTGGAGTTTCCCTTATCTGCTTTTGCGATAACAGCATTATTCTGTTGTAACTTGTTCCTAATACTTTGAGCAATTTGTTTCAAGGATTTGTATTTTGACAAATATTTGATTCTAGGTTTGGGGTTGTTCATTAACTTATGGATTTTGTTGGACTCCACGGTCATAATAGACAAAGGCGATTACGTCAGCAAGGTCCAGAACTTCATTGAGACCAACAATGTTGTAACTTTACACAAAGACCCAACCCCATCTTTCTCCAAAGAAATCAATCAAATAATTTCGTCATGCAAGAACCTTTTAACACCTGAAGATATAAGAAATGTTAAAGTAACTAACCCCAGAGCCCCTCAGTTAAGAGGACTGCCCAAAATTCACAAGCCCAATATTCCCATTAGACCTCTGGTAAACTTCACACCTGCTCCGACTTATAAAATCGCCAAAAAACTGGACACAATTATTAGGAATGAGATAAAATTGGAAAACAATCACAGCGTAAGAAACACAGTTGACCTAGTGAACAAACTATCAGACGCAAAGCTCAAAGACTCCTATATTTTAGCTTCATTTGACGTCGTGAATTTATTCACGAAAGTTCCCGTAGATGAAACAATAGCCTTGCTTAAAGACAATTTGGACAAAAATTCATCACTTTCAACAGAAGCTAAGCATGAACTTATAACTCTAACTCAGACCGTTCTAAAACAAAATTATTTCGAATTTGAAAACCAGTTTTACATCCAAAATGAAGGACTGACCATGGGATCACCTCTTTCGAGCATTCTATCAGAATTATTCTTAAATAATGTAGAAAACAAACATCTTTGGTCTGATTCAAACCGACACAAACACAGAATAATCCACTACAGCAGGTATGTAGATGATACTCTTGTATTATTTAACGGTAACGGCAGGCAACTCAATTTACTCCACGCATACCTAAATAGAATACATAAGAACCTACAATTCACCCTCGAAATAGAAAATACAAAATCAATCAACTTCCTGGATGTCACTATAACGAGAAACAATAGCCAATTACAGTTCAAAATCTATAGAAAACCAACGACCACGGACCAGACTATTCATTCACAATCACACCATCCGCACAACCATAAAATCGCTGCTTACAATAGTTTTGTACACCGCCTACTCTCCATCCCATTGAGCCCAACTGATTATACCGATGAAGTAAATGTCTTAAAACACATCGCAGTCGCCAATGGTTACAACAGTTCCCTAATCGATAAACTGATTAATAAACAACAGAATAAAACCAAGAACCAACCACAAGGCAACAAAAGATACATCAGTGCAGATTATGGTGTTGTGTTAAACCACACCTTAACAAACGAACTTGCAAAAAGAGATGTCGTAGTATCTTTCAAAACAAAGAACAAACTTTCAAACATAATCACTGAGAGAACTAAACCAGATTCTGATAAAATTAATAAAACTGGAATTTACAAATTGATATGTGATGATTGTCCTAATTTTTATATAGGTCAGACAGCAAGATCGTTTTCCACTAGGTTTAAAGAACACATACCGAAGAGAAACTCAAAATCAGCCTACGCAAACCATCTTATATCCTCCAACCACAATTACACCAACATACATAATAACTTAGAAGTATTACATTTTTGCAACAAAGGGCATTACATGGACACTGTTGAAGAATTCGAAATTTATAAAGCATCAAAAAGTCAACCACAAAACATCCTGAACGAGAAATTGTCATTTGAATCCAACATTATTTATAACACCGCCATCCATATCACCAGTAATCAGACAAGAAAAGAGCGAGATAAGGATAATACAGGGGTAGGGGTCAACGCTGCCGACACGTGACAGTCGCGACTTACCTTCCACCGGCGCCGTGTCTCGTGAATCAGCGTCTGGTCGACCAGTTTATTAAATGTATTTTCGTGTGTGTCGTATCCGTATGTGTGTCCTGTTTATTTATTTGTTTATATTTTTGACGAACTCTACATGAGGGATTAGCAAGACATTCTGGACCTGAAGATGTGCTATTTTTTAAGCACGAAACAGCTGTAGTCATCATACTACTAAACTGATCGTTTTGACAGAAAACAGGTAATTTAAACCTATATTAGTTTATTCAGACGATCTAGAGGCCATTCCATCATGAAAAATGTAGTGGTTTTTTACATAAATGTCACTAGATTGATGTGTCATAATAAATACTAGCTGTGAGACCCATCCTAAACTGAGATCGAATTGTAGATTGGGAATTATATAGGCCCACCTGTGTAATTCGGAATAGCTGCTTTACATATTAATTGTACTTAATAGCTGTAGCTATACAGACAATATCATTATCATACACAATATATTAACCAGCATATAGGAAAATTGTGTCAGTCCATTGTGAAAATCTCCTCGTAAGAAAATGTCACGTGGCTATTTAATATTTCGATTGTATAGCCTACGTTTGAAATCCAACTATTTTACAATAAAACAAGTTTTCCGATCCGTGGGAATTAAAAGCCTTGAAGTAAAAAAGGGGGCTACTGTATACCTGTAAGGGGGCCGCGGGCCTGATACAGTAGCTGTAAGGCCCCGTTTATGCACCAAGTGCGGTAGCGGTAGCGACAGCGGGAGCGATTTCTAACACCATTGAGTTAAATGGGGCTGTTTATGCACCAAGAGCGATAGCGATAGCGGTTGACCTCCCGCTGCGATTTCTAATTCGCCCGCTGTGTAGTTAGGAATCGCAGCGGTTGCTTGGGCTGAAGCCAGGGCTGCCAACTTGAAGTAGTGGATACATAGGGCTGCTGAGGAGTG